ATATAAACATTGCAATTAATTTTATTTTCTACATATAATTAAGAATTTAAAATGTCCTTTTTAATTGTTTGACACTTAAACTCTAGTTACAAACTTACAAGTAATGGTATATATAGAAAATATATTACTTCCAAGTAAAGTAACTCAAACTACGCATAACTTAGATTTCTTGGGGTCTTCAGACAAATACCTTAAAATCAATGGCCTTTTGAAAAATTAGATGAAAATGAAATTGGATATTTTTAACTAAAGGCGTGTGATGTTTAATTGTCACTTAAAACTTAGCTCTTGTTTGTGCCACATTATATTCCAAAGAATACATTTTTGAATAGTATATTGATGAAAAATGTATGGTTAAAAATAAAGAAAATTTTTGAATTTGCGTGTAATATTATTTTATTGAAAAATGTGCGGTTGAAATGATGTCAAATAACTGTTTAAAAATGTAGTTTTTTGAAAAAATGTGGCTCAAACACAGCCTTGTAATTTCTTTTTAAAAAATGCTCACAAAATAATATTTTGACTTTTATGAAAAATAGACAAAAATGTTTAGTTCTAAAAACTCGAATTACATGATATGACATTTTATAAGTTGACACGACGTGTGACTTTTTAATGAGTAACCTTGATTTACATTCGACACAACAAAAAATAAAAGTAATAACTAAATATCAATTGAAATGCTTCTTGTAATCTAATTGTTAGATTAATCAAAGATTTAAAGTTAAAAGGTGCCGAACTACATGGTTCGTGACTTTCTAATTAAAAATTGAAGGTACGATTTACCTAATTGGCGTAATTTGCAGACTATTGCGTTAGTCCGATAATTTACCTAATGCGCACTCGTAGGATAGCGACCGTGGGTTCCTCCATTATTTAAAAAAAAAAAGTGATAATAAAAATATTAGCCTAATGTACACTATAAAAACAAGCCAAAGATGGTTTATTAACACAAAGGGAAGAAGTCAATTTTACATTGTGTGACATTTTCATTAAAAAGTGATAAACATGTAACTTTCAATAAATAACTTCAATTCACATTCATCGTAACAAAAATTGAAAGTTAGAGCTAAATATCATTTTAAGTAATTTTACAAGCACGTTGTAAATCTAGCCAAAAATGTTGGGTTAAAAAAGTTTTATTTTAATTAAAAAAATAGAGATCTGCTTTATGGCCAGGACCACATGTGCCCTGGCCAAGCAGATTAATTCTACAAAATATTGAAATTAGTAAAGTTTTTAATTAATTTGTGAATTGTTTCCCAAAGTATAATAGTTGTATTGAACTCTGGCCCAATACAAAACCACGTTTCCAGCGCTCAAGTAATCATGTCCCAAATGTCGCTTTTTCTCAAAAATTACATTATCTTCAACCTAATCCCTCAGTATCAAAGTCAATGTTCAACTTTAATAAAAGAGTAAAGTTATTTCAATTTTTTTTTTCTTATCTCAATCAATATCCAAATATTAAAATTGTACAATCATCGTTTAATTGTGAAACGACCCTCGTAAAAATA